AAAACAGAAAACCTTACTTATAGATACACTTATCTTAACAATATCAAATTCCATGCTGTATATCGACGAATTGTTCAATGCAACCTCGTGCAATTCACTCTAATTTAATTTACTGTTTCCAATAAATTCAGAATGATAAATTAAAGAATAAAAATTTTAAAAGAATAATAACAATTGCGGTTACATTCTCAGCAATGAGACGGATATTGAACTTACAAGGGAACTTCGGTAACCCGAAATGTCCGATGTTTTTGAAACTTTGTGGGTTTGTAGGGGACCTCAAGAGAAGTACAGTAAATTCTCCACAAGTGTCAGTCCGCAAGGAAGCTAAACCTGACACTTGTAGAGTCAGGGACTACGTTTTCGAGCCTCGCGCCCGCCTTTGTAGTTTGCCGAACGTAGACAAGGACAGCGAATAAAAGATAAGGATGAAGTCGAGGCAACCAAGCGATTTAAATACCAATTTTTTTAATTTTACGTCTTTTTATCCCGAAATTTTTCTTAACATATTGATGAGATTTTTCTGATGAAAATGACATCAAACACGACATAATTTGATATCATTTTCATCAGAAAAATCTCACCAACATGTTAAAAAAAATTTCAGATGAAAAAGAGTAAAATTAAAGAAATTATATTTTTCTATTATGAATTGTCGAATCGTGAAATCTCGTAAAAGAAACCGAGTGGTGTAGCGTTACACGGTTGACTGACAGCGAAAGAGATAACATAGGCGCAGCAATGACGCAGACCTAGGCGTAGGACCATCTATACTGACACTTGTAGAATCCAAACTGACTGACACTTGTAGAGAATTTACTGTATCGGGCAATTTTTTTTTTAGCCCAATTTCGGTTCTTCGGGGTGAAAACAGCCCTTGAATGAAGATAAGTGTTACCCTATTTCCCTGTATATCTTTAAAACTACAGTGGATGTAAAAAAATGTTTATAATAAAAATTAAATGCCTTTTAATGCCTTATAAGACTGTGCTATTAAATTAATAAAAATTCTTTTTTTCCCACTACCGTTGTTGTGAAAAATTTGTAATTTTCTATCATATCGAAAAATATGTCAAATAAATGCAGATAGGACCCGATGCGATACGGTGCTTAATAGATGACGATCGGCCGCTTCTCTCTTGTTCTCCACGCGCGTCCACGTTCTGTCGCGGTGTAAATCGTTGTCGTATTAAACTTTATGCATTACAGAGAAACTCTGTCCTTAACGTTTCTTTTCTGCGATCCCGCCTCTCACGGTTAAATGCGTAAATGTGTTACAATAGAATGGATTAAATTAGAAATACATAGAAAGTTAGGATTAATGTAAAGCAAGTCCGAAATTTCTTAGCTGTGAAAAAAGAAGAAAGTTTAAAAGTAAAAACAGAAATAAAAGTTAAGGTAAATTAGGGGAATGAGAGAATAATGAACGAAGAGAATGTCCCAAATAAGTCCCAAATTTCTCAGCTAAGAAGCCGAAAGAAGAAATATGTACATACGACTCTCTAAAAGAAAAAAGGAAATTGTGGTTGAAGACAGTCTTGGACACTTCCCTTATTTAAATCAGCTCATATGTGACCAAGTATATGTTACATATACCGACTTCTCTCTATACTTTGAAACGTACGACAGCGGCGAAAAGCTGGATGTATTATAAGTCGATATAACATCAGCCGTGATAGCGTTATAGAACCAGTATGAGATACTTTTGAGCCCTAGGTAAGTAAAACCCGTTCCCATCGTATTTTTCATACATTGAATTATCGTGAGTAATAGAGATTTGGATCGAATGGAATTGCAACGGGTAAGACGATTATAAGAAATAGCAGAATCACGTGAAAAGAAGCGAAACTTTTTATAATTTCGGTAAACGGTCTCTTCATTTGTTACACATATGTATTGTAATATTATGCAGACAAGCGTATGTTAAAAAACATCAATAAAATAAAATGATTATGTTTTTACATATAAAAAAGAACAAGGTAACGTAAATTATAAATATACCTACTCTGGATAATATAAAAATGCTTGCAATCGAATTGATTTCTA